CATACAGCATCTCTGTATAGTATGTGTGTTCACTCTCTGTCCTAAACGGCTTGTTGGAGCTCCCTGTGAGCCCAGTGGCCGTCTGCGAGACACAGCGAAACCCAGCCCAAAACACACACACACACACCTGCAGCCTGGCTGGGAGTTTGTGTGTGTGCCCAGGCTGAGTTCCGCGGTGTCTCGCTGTCTCGCAGACCCCACACCAGTGAGCCAGCTCACAGTGTCCCGCTCCTCGCAGCAGCGAGCCTCGCAACGTCCCGCCGAGTGGTGTGCGTGAGGAAGTCCGCGGATTGGTCCAAACGTAACGGCTCCGCGGATGTAACGTTACGTCACTATACCCGAGATACGTCACTATACCCAAGAAGTAAACAATTGAAAAAGAGAAATCTCCTACGAGGCGTTCTGGGGCAGCATAGACAGGTATTTTCTGTGTTAGAGTTTTACTCGCTACAGGGTGTACTTTGAGGGTTTGTGACTCTGCAGACCGTTTACATGCATAACAAGCTACATAACACACAAGGGGACGGGTAATAACCAGAAAAGCATGACATGGGACCTTTAAGCAAATAACCGCGCCTGCTCTCCAAAGAGAACTACTTAAACCAATGTTTTAAATGGCGGCTTGATCTTAAAGCCGGAACAATCGGTAGCATCGTCTCATTTTACTAATCGGCCGGCATTTTGAAATGCATGTGCATGCAAGTCAAATATTTTGTGTAAGCTTAGAGCTTGAATTTCCATGCGTTTCTATGAGTTCTCCCGATCACTTTATTCCACTCGAGCAGCTCCCTTTTTTCCCCAAGGGTTTGGGATTAAGGAGCTACGACTGGATCTGCAGTTTTAACCCAGTGAACCACAGCTCCATTTAAATACCTTAATTCACTTAATCTGATGGTAATCCCCGCGGGCATTATAGGGGATTGTGTCACAGTAGAATTCATTATTGAGGGACAAGTTGAAACAGTCACTCCATCGCGGCTCCACCTCATTTATTTCACCCCCCCCCCCTTCCTCTTTCTTTCTCCCAGATCTACTTTCCTTTCATCTGCTGAGAAATGTGTGTTTTCCTCTGTTCATTAATCGATTTAGATCTTAGTCTTTAGCAGGTCGCGGCCACTGACCAGCTTTCAGAGCAATGTCGGCCAATAAAGTATTAATGACTTCCATTTGGGACTCGCAGTATTAAACCACAGTGTAGTGGGAGGTCTTGTTAGTCTTTGTACCACAGATCACATTCCACTTTCCTTATAAGGGGCTGCCAGTTTTGATATGACCCACCTCACCCAGACCCGAGATAATTCCCGTGCAACCTATATATACCCAGTTAAACTACTGTGCGCTTTGCTCTCTAATTACTGCGCCCTGCGCTACAAATCAGAGCACTTTTCCTAACTAGACGGATCTGTGCGTGGGGGCTGCTTGTGAAATCCTGAATCCGTAACGCTTCGGTGGCTTTGAAGGCAGATTGATGATTATCACTGGCTTTGTGTGAATCAATTTACCCTGCACTCAAATTGCTTCTTCATGCTGAAAAATGATGTTCCCACAACAGAGATCGACGTCATGGTACCAAAAATGTCGAAGGTCTTCACAGCGGACACCCTGCAGCGGGTGGCCTGCCACCCCCCACGTGGCAGACCCGAGCCCGAGGTGTGGTGGGAGAGGGGGGGTCAGCGGGTGCCCACGGAGGGCAGGGTGTACCAGGACGGCCTGAATCTGGTCTTCCGTCCCACTGAGGGAGGGGACTCGGGCACATACACCTGCGTGGCCCAGAACAGGGCGGGACGCAGGACCCAGGAGGTCACCTTCACCGTGGCCAGTGAGTCGAACACACGCCGCTGCATGATGTTCACACATTACGTTTGTTTTAGCCTTCACAAGAGAACAAAACCTCTGTTTTATAATGCCTGAAAAAAAAGCCTCAGTCTCAGCTAATCTTACATTTACAAAACAAGCATTAGTAGCTGCTTGGGCTTTGAAATAAATGGTCATTTAGGAGAACTGTTGAAAGATGCTTTACCAAAGCATTATGGGAAAGGAAGGATCCGGCTTACTAGAGAACAGGGGGTTTTATGTCAGATATCAGATTGATTCTAAAGGATGACAGTGTCCAGAAGAGTTTACAAAAATGATATTATCAGAATATTTAAAAACAATAAATGATATTAGAGATTTTGATTTTGATGTTTTTCTGTTTGAAGGAGACAAAAAGAGAACAAAGATTATTCTATTTTAAATATATAATAAACATGATAATGATTATGACAATGCTATTATCAATCCCTATATATTGCTTCACACCTACTGAAGATCAAGTATATCTCTGGCTCTGCTGCCTTATTTTAGGCATCTTCTAAAATCCATGTTTTGTGACTAAAATAAAAGTAATTATTTGAGTTTTAGTTTTTTATAGCAACCCAAAAATTAATGAAATCAAATGAATATAAACCAGCCAATATGGGCTAGCATAGGTCATTGAAGTGCGCTTTGTATTACAGTAAGCCTTTAATGTCAGGAGCATGCTGGGAACACTGAGAGCATCTACCAGATACACAGAGATAATAAATGGAGTCTATGTTTAGACTGACCACAGGCCAAGCTCACTAACACTTTGTGTATTCCTTTAAGGGACTGTATATGCAGCTGAGGAGCTATTCTGTGTGTACTGTACTGGTGTAGAATGTCTATGCTTATATAACACATTTCTGTGTGTGTGTCCACAGCTGCCCCAGAGTGGGTGCTGAGGCCTCAGGACAGCCAGCTAGAGGAGGGTAAACCCGGCTACCTTCACTGCCACGCTCAGGCCAACCCTGAACCTGAGGTCACATGGCTCCGAAACAACATCTTGCTCACACCAGAGGTCAGATACCAAAAACTAAAACACCACACAGATGAAAGTGTCTTTTTATCATGGACAATATTTGCCCAAATATTCAAAACAGCATTGCACATGTACATGCCCAAACAACATAGCCATAGTTATAACGATAACAATTTTTCAAATGAAGAAAACGCAGTCACATTCCCATTCGTCCAATTGTTATTACAGCCCCTCTTACAAAGTAGTTGGTAATCCTTGTCGCTTGTTTGTTTCCTACATATTGTCAATTTCCCCCATTTGTATTCAAACTGTGATTCTTGCGGCCCCAACCGATATGTCAGTTTTTAAATTTTATTGATTTCCTCTACGATCTCTTCCCATTGTTCCTCCGTAGGAGGTTCCAACTTGCACCATTCTAGTGATTGCTTTTTTGCTGGCTATTAACAATATTTTGACCAGATATCTATCCATATGTTGAGCAATTCCTTCCCTCAAATGTCCTAGATAGAGATATTTGAATGTATTTGTTTTCCTCTTTTCTTTCTAGGACTCTCGTTTCAAGCTGTTCCCTAACGGCACCCTCAGGATAAACAACGTGGAGGTGTACGACCAGCAGATGTACGGCTGTGAAACGAAGACGGAGGGCGGCCGACTCTCTGGGCAGGCGCGCGTTTTTGTGCTCGGTAAGCCTCGAGGGGAATTCACCAGCTGATCAATATATACAGTAGATTATCCTCGGAGCGTCCACTAAGCAGCTATTTGAAGCCATTATCCCCCACACAGATGATTTGTAATGAGTTAAATCATTTCCAGGGCGTAATGAGTAATACATTGTCGAGGGAAAATATAAAACAAATGTGGTCATGCCTCTGGGCTTGTGAGTGTTTCCAGAAATAGGAAGAGCATGTCCATGTTTGTCTCTGGGCACACTGCAGGACACCCACAGAGGTGTAATATATGACTCATGCACGTCAGCTTTGTTCTTGCCTCCATTTTTGCACATTATCTGATTTGATAAATCCCTATCAGCTATAGGATCACCGTGATAAATTGCCTGACATGTCACTGTTTCGTCTTGCAATCTCTGTTTATATGATCTCAGCCTCTGATAGACTCACACTCATCTGATCTGTGTGTACATGAATGTGTCTGAGCATGAAGTGCGTCAGATTACTGTGATTTCATGTGCTGGCTGAGATGCACAAAAGAGGCTTTGACCCAGCCGCCGCCCTCTCTCTGGGTTTATCATATGTGTAATGTGCGTGGTGTTTTGACTTGTGTTTCAGAGAAGCTGAAGTTCACCCCCACCCCCCAGCCTTCTCAGTGCCTGGAGCTGGACAACGAGATCACCATCCAGTGCTCGGCTAAAGGCAGAGAGACCCCCACCATCCGCTGGACCAAAGCAGGTGAGCATGCCACGGCTAGCCACGCCAAGCTTAAAAAGCACACCCAAAAAAACGTCTTGTTTTCTCTCTTATCTTTAGGGCTATTTATCGATCAAGTATACTTAGCTGGAGTTGCTAGTCGTTGTGGATAGCTGCTGTAGAGATGTATGCCTTCTCTTGAATATAATAGAACGAGTGCACACTTAAAGTGGCAACAAATAATAATAAAAGCAACTTATCTCTTTCCAGAAATGATAACCTGGTCACTCAAGATAATCCATGGACCTTGTTGTGAGCAGTTTCACGTAGGGACTATTTTCTCTGTAATGTACAGAAGCAAGCGTGCATGTACACCTACTCATACTTTTTGACACCTGTAGTTCGATAGAAAGAAAACTGTTTCTATATGAAACTGCTCACACCATGACTGTGGACTATCTTGAATAACCAGGTAATTATTTATGAAAATAACAATGCTGTTGGGTTTTTAAATGTATTTTTGTGGTGCTTCGGCATCACAAGCCGAGTGCCATCTGATTCCATTATATTCAAGAGAAGACAAACATATGTAATGCCTTTTTAAACGACTTTACATCAATCTACATAAGAAACATGGAAGAATATGGGTTTTAGATTTAGTGGGCGAACTACAATTAACTGTTGTATCACTCTTAAGAAGAATTCTCATCAAAAATGCAGCCGCACCTCATATTCCTTTTTCTTCTAATGATGATAAAAGAGGTTTCCTCAGTAACGTGTAGAACCATGCGCAGAATCTGCAATAAACAGAGTGTGAGGAAAGCTCATCATCATGGATCATTTCCCCCATTCATCTGCATTTGCTGTGATGGAGTCGATTTAACCACATGCAGCACCAGCCTCACCCCTCCCCCCCCCC